CCCACCCCTCAGCGGGTGCCCGCTAGGGGGCGCCGCAGTGCCCGCCGGGGGCCGGCCCCCGGCCCGGGCCCGGCGTCGGGGGGAAGCGTTTGCAGCCGCCTTCTGCGCAAAAAGGGCAGTGGTGAAACCCTTTCTGCGCCGTTTTGCCCCCTATTTATAGATCGGCTGAGGCTGGCGGTAATTTTACGCAGTCGTTTTAGTGGTACGAGTAATATTTGGGCCAGGATTTCTGCCTCCTGAACGATACTGACGAAATCTTAGTTCAGCAGTACGACACTGCGCATTTCTTCCAGAGTAAGGAATTATAAGGATATCATTATAGAGAAATAGTAATGCCAACAAATTTCTCCGGGTGGAGAAGTCTTTGGACCTGTCAAGCGCATCTAGCACTGACCTCCTTAGAACATCACTCTCGGCAGGTAAACAACACACAAAATACTGGCTAGACTTTAAAAACAAATGGATTTATAGGGATTACATTTTTCCAGAATATATTAATCTGTGAAGATTATGTTAGTTCATAATAAAACCAAGATTCAGGCTAGGTGTGGTCTCTCACCCCATATCAAAGATGTGGGACAAGGGCTGAGGAGGAATGGGTTCTTCACCTTCGTTTTCCCTGTCTCCTTGGGACTGCAGCTGTCAACACCATAGCTAGATGTTCAGAGGAGATCACCAGGTGGGGAGATCTCTGAGACCTGTGGTTCATCTGTGCCGTCAGCATTTCAAAACTATTTAGGCTTCAGTCGTCCATCAGAGCTGCTGCTTGTATCTGCCAGTGATCAGCAGCAAGAGGCAATGCCCACCCCACCATCTGGGCATCATGGTTTGGAGGGGAGAGGGAACTGCAGGAAACAGAGCTGAAGCTCAGGTCTCTCTTCAGGTGAGGGTAAGGGGAGAGCCACCTTGTGATTCTGTGAAGCATGATGGCTCTGTTTACTTATTCGGGATCTATCGCAATTACTATTAGCTAAAAATGTTAGTAACTTCCTAAGCAAAAGCAGAGACAGCAGAGCAAAAGCCAGTGACTGCCCTAAATACCTGTAGACCACACAGAGGCAAAATTTGAATGCCACTAAGTACCGGGAGATCTGAAACACTGAGGGGAGGCACATCCAAAGCGATGGGCCCAATGTAAGTGTTAAATCACCAGGGCTGGGTCATTTACTGCCTATGCTTCAGGTCAGGAGAAAATCCAATGGAAAAGGCAGAACTCCCTGGGCAGGGATCTTCCAGGAGAGGACAGGCCTGGGATGTAAGGCATTGGTCTTGGAACTGTGGCTGTGCTAGCTCAGGAGGTTACTGCTCCCCTGTGCTCGTCACTGCTGCTAGAGGCTGCTAAGGGTTAGCTGAGCTGTTTATGGGCTGGCCAAAAAAAACCCTACTATTTGAAGTGATTAACTGATCATCTTCTTCCCTGAAATGAAGTAGGAAGCCAGGCCGGTAGATCTGTGTAGGCACAACGGGTAACGAGCGGCAGTTGGTGGCAGTAACCTCTTCAACAGTGCAAGTACAGCCAGGAGAGAAAGAACTACCCCTTAAATGGCGAATAGCCTGCAGAAGGGCTCTTGTGTGGTTTTGTGTCCATCAGGACTATACCACAGCTGTATAGCCAGCTTCAGGTGTGCCCTATTGATATCGTGACAGTACGTTAAAACAGTTACAGAAGCCTCACTCAGTTCAGATGCTATGCAGCTGCCTTGTGTTACTTGTTGGGAGAGAGGCAGCATGGCCTTCAGCCTCAGCAGGAGAAAGGCTGGCAGAGATGGGCTTCCAAGTCTTTTCAGTCTTCCTGTATGACTTCAGCAAAGCATGTCCTTATGCCTCAATTTCTCAATCTGTAAAAGGGGAGTAGTTTTTAATCACCAAATGAGGCTGCTGTAAAGTTAAATTAATTACTGCAGGTAAAGAGGGTTACGTCCTTTGGAGGCAGGTGTTCAACAAAAGCAAAGATTTATTATTAAAGGAACATGATAGGTCCATTTGAACTTTGTTCAGGAGACCGCAGTATTTATCGATTAGTAGCTTTTGGCAGGGGGAGAAATTGTGCAGATGACCTCAGGGAAGTAAACTACAGGAAAGTGTGTGTGAAGGCATTCATGCTCTTGCTAACATTATTGTAAATCTTGATCCTTTAATAAAGCTGTGACCTTGGAGTTGACAACCAGTACGCCACAGAGCAATATATAGCATGGCACCAGCCTTGTAAATCTTATGTAGTTTTTGCCATTGACATAGACAACATATAAAGAGAAATCAGGCAGCTGAAGTTTATGAAACACATTTATTTGAAGGAAAGCATTTTAAATCAGACTTTTTAGATGAAATGAAACCAATGGCCCTGCCAACTTTTTATTCCTCCTGACAAAATGTGTTTGTGAAATGAAGTCTCAACAGTGAAAACTTGTAGAACTGCTCATATAATTTTGCCATTTGCAGGGGGCAACTGCCACTGCTAGATTTTAGATCACCTTTGCGCAGCTATTGTACAACTACTTTTTGTTTTGGTTGCTTTCTTGACAATGCTGCTGCTGCAACAACAGCACATCTCTGCCAACATGAAAAGCACAAGGTTTTGTTCTGTGGGAGCGATCAAAGATGGATGTGAGCAGAAAAGAAAAGAGAGAAAGCTGTGTAACTGCAGGGGGATCAGAAGGTGCGATGTACAAGGGGAAGGACATCTTTTGCTCTTACCAGGTGTATCTGTATCACTATCAACAAAGAACACTGGCAGTCACAGACAAAACAACACTCCTACAGTGGTAGCTTATTTCATACAAATAAAGTTGTCTATACATTTTTCAGATGTGCAAGAAACCATAAATCCAGTAACTTTTTCCCCATATTTTTGGCTACTTTGCTCTGGCAGACCAGAGTTGTTTGTGTTTTTTTTTTTAGTTACTCAAATGTTCCTACAAATTCCACCCTTTGGAGCAACACTGCCCATCTTTCTGACTGAGGAGTTTTCATTTCCAAGGACAGTTCTAAAAGAGAAAGGAAAGCAACTTTCCCAGGCACATGAAACATTGAATCTTTCTCTTCCCAAAAAGGAGCCACTTTCTGATTCTAAGAAAAACTAGTAAAGACCTAAAGTCTATGGGGAGTTTCCTTGTTAACATGTTACCATGTCATTAAAGCTACTTTATTCATTGTACATGCTTCTATGCAAGAACATGAATTTTCATTTCTTACAGATCAACTGCATCTTTGAAAGATACTATGTTATACTGTACATGTGAAAAACTGTACATACTTTTTTTAACTTACATAATAATAACAATACAGGTTAGTTAAAAGACACTGTCAATCTCTTGAACAGGTTTCTATTTTTTTATTATAAACATCATATTCACTTGCTATCCTTTCAGGATGGCTTTCACTTACAAATTTTGCTAATTTTGAGTCTCTTCCTGCACTGTAAATGGAAACTTGTGTGCAGTCCTTGACAGTAGGTAGTATGTCCGATACAGTTTTGAGGGGGGATTTGTTCCAATTTGGTCCTGTAGCATCTGAAGTGCTGTTGTCATCTACCTCCAGCACTGCATTGTCATCATCAATGTACACAAGACTGGCCTGCTCCTGGAAGGTAGCTGCAAACAAATAGGAGAGGCCGCTGTCAAAGCCAGTGTATCTGTACACTGGACCAGCAGCGAGTTCAGGACCATTGTACTATAGGCAGAGAAACTGACAATACTTTCTTTTACCCTTGCAAAAAAAAAAAAAACCAAACACATTTTTTAATGAAACTGAAATTTAATTAAAAAAAAATAATTTAAAACCAAAACAATGCTTAAGAAAAAAAAAATTACATCCATGCAGGTTACTAACACTCCATTAATTGCAACAGGCTAAATTTTAATGACCACATTCATCTACAGAACGTGTTCTTCCACTCTTCTGCAATAGTCTTTACGTGCTGTTTGGATGATTCACATGCACATATTCTAAGAATGACCTATCTAGAACTCTTTCATCAAAAACTGCAACAGTGTTTATGTCCTGAAAAAAAAAAAAAAAAAAAAGAGAAGCATATTTTATTGAATATCAAGATAGTAATTAATATGTTAATAGATTTAATTTTGACTGCTTGAGTTACCAGTTAACAAAATGCTGGTTTCAGTGGGTTTACATCCATGTTTAAAGTTTACTGCCTAACTTTCTATTCCTTAGTGGTAAACACTGCAACATAAAGCAAGAGAAATCATTGTGAAACTTGAAATAAATGAGAATGTCAAATGGAGAAACAGATTAATTCAGTGATTATGCAAAATCAAACAATGCTAATGCTCTTTAATAAAAGAGTCCAATTTGGTGATGCATGTTATGTTACTGTGTATAGAAATAAATACTCAAGTCTTAACTATGAACTTAACTTTATGAAGCTACATATGTGTGAGCTATCATTAAAGTGCTATCGTACATAAGTCTCTTTCCGCCATGTGTATGAATTATAGCTTCAAATTATTACGATGGTTCTTCACTTCTGCCCTCCATTTAGACAACATTTTCTTTAGTGCTTTTTCACCATTTGAAAAAAATAATGTTTTATATCTTTCTTTGGGATTTTGTCTGGATGAGTACCAAACATAAATCTAGGAAAGCACTAACTAATATTCTTGAGAAATTCTAACAGCATGTTAATGCTTGTGCTGCATTTTTTTATTTTACAGCCCACTCAGACAGCAAACAGCTGCAGCACCTTTCAGAAGTACAACTGTGTCATCTTAGGTTCTTATAGAATAAAAAAGGGTTGTTGAAACAACTTTCATTTAAAGTACGTACGCTTTCATTTGAGGCTCTCCAAGTCATTTATAAACATGAGTCAGATGCACAATACTTGTTAAGAAGTTAGTACCTTTCCCTTGTCCCACCATTAGACAGCAACAAAACTGAGGACAGAATCTGTAAGTTGGCACCTCTGAGTACCAGACTATGTTGTTTCTGTATGCATCTGCCACACTTTGTGACTTCATGGTGCAGTTATCTGCTCAGTTCTTTTCATCACTTCTTGACTGTAAAAGGTGTGGAAGATACACATAAAGAAATCAAGTCATTACTAGTCTTCACAACTGAGTGTATGTCTGAGTTGAAGATGCCTTATAAAATTTCTGCTGAAATAGCTTGGATCTCTCCCAGGTGTTAAACAACTAATTGAACACCACTATAAATAAATGGAAGGAAGTATTCAATTTTCATCTTGGAAGTCTTACAGAAGAAATATTATCAGTGTTTAAAAGAACAGAAATATGAAATAAGGGGATATGTTATGGCCAGCTGGCATTCCAAATGGATCCTCCTGGAAACTATGCTAAAGCACATGGAAAACAAGGAGGTGATTGGTGACAACCAACATAGCTTCACAAAGGGCAAATCACGCCCGACAAATTTGGTGGCCTTCTACGACAGGGTTACAGCAATGGTGGATAAGGGAACAGCAACTGACGTCATCTACCTGGACTTGTGCAAAGCATTTGACACTGTCCCACACAACCTCCTTGTCTCTAAATTAGAGAGACATGGATTTGACGGATGGACCACTCGGTGGATAAGGAATTGGCTGGATGGTCGCACTCAAAGAGTTGTGGTCAATGGCTCGATGTCTGAGTGGAGACCAGTAACAAGTGGTGTTCCTCAGAGGTCAGTATTGGGACTGGCGCTTTTTAACATGCTGGCAACATGGACAGTGGGATTGAGTGCACCCTCAGCACATTTGCCACCAACACCAAGCTGTGTGGTGCAGTCAACACACTGGAAGGAAGGGACGCCATCCAGAGGGACCTCGACAGGCTTGAGAGATGGGCCCATATGAACCTCATGAAGTTCACCAAGGCCAAGTGCAAGGTCCTGCACATTGGCTGGGGCAAGCCCAAGCACAAATACAGGCTAGGCAATGAGTAGATTGAGAGCAGCCCTGCAGAGAAGGACTTGGGGGTGTTGATTGATGAGAAGCTCAACACGATCTGGCAACGTGTGCTCACAGCCCAGAAAGCCAGCATATCCTGGGCTGCATCAAAAGCAGCATGACCAGCAGGTCAAGCAGGTGATTCTCACCCTCTACTTCGCTCTCGTGAGACCCCACCTGGAGTACTGCGTTCAGCTCTGGGGGCCCCAACATAACAAGGACATGGACCCATTGGAGCAAGTCCAGAGGAGGGCCACAAAGATGATCAGAGGGCTGGAGCACCTCTCCTATGAAGACAGGCTGAGGCAGCTGGGGTTGTTGAGCCTGGAGAAGAGAAGTCTCCAGGGAGACATTATAGCAACCTTCCAGTACCTAAAGAAGGTAAAGTACACTGTTGGCCAGTTTGGGTCAGGTGCCCTGGCTGGGCATGAGAAGCTGAAAAATCCTTGACTATAGTCTAAACACTACTGAGCAACAACTGAAAACATCAGTGTTATCAACATTCTTCACATACTGAACTCAAAACATAGCCCTGTACCAGCTACTAGGAAGACAGTTAACTTCATCCCAGCTGAAACCAGGACAGCCTACAAGAAACCTGGAGAGGGACTTTTTACAAGGGCATGTAGTGGTAGGACAAGGGGTGATGGCTTTAAACTGGACGAGTGTAGATGTATGTCGGATGTAAGGAAGGAGTTCTTTATTGTGAGGGTGGTGAGGCACTGGAACAGGTTGCCCAGAGAGGTTGTGGATGCCCCATCCCTGGAAGTGTTCCAGGCCAGGCTGGATGGGGCTTTGAGCAGCCTGTTCTAGTGGAAGGTTTCCCTGCCCATGGCAGGGGGGTTGGAACTAGATGATCTTTAAGGTCCCTTCCAACTCAAACTATTCTATGATTATTTTAGCAAGACAAATACTGCTAGGCACAGAGCACTCTCAGATCATCTGTCAGTTATGCTAATCCCTGCTGTGTAATTCGTGTCTGCAGACATCCCAAGGACTGTCAACCTATGTAGGTCTGATGGTTAAGATATTCTCTCCTATTGGCTACAAGAGAAGTCAGGCAAAAGCATTTGTTTTATCCAATAAAAAATGTGTTTATCATCCATACAATTTATGTATCCATTTTTTTATCATTCAAAAAATAAACTAATAACAAATATTCAATTTGTTTATCATCCAAGCCACTGTTTGGATGATAAAGTGCTACAGGAAACACACAGGATTTCTCTGGTCATCAATAACAAATTAATTTATCTGTGTGCTTACAACAGAAGTGCCTAAAACACTTCATCAAAAGAAAAGCTGAATTACTTCCTGTAGGTTCTCTGTATAATATAAAAGTTGCAGTTGCTGCAACATTTATTTCTTCAACCAGTATCATGAGAACACTGTGTGTATGCTAAAAAAGTGAATATCGTGGAATACACCATGTGTGAATATACTATGCGTAGACTAAAAACAGCTTTGTGACATGTTATGGTAGTGAACATTATGATACAACACACCAAAAAATCCTGTGCCTTTCTTAGAACTAGAAGTCTGATGTGTTTATTCTAAGTCTGAAATAAAAAGGTTGAAACAGCTGTGTCAAATCACTTTTTCAGGTACTCCTGAAATCCTGAAACAGTTACTCCAAAGTTATTTCAGAATTAAAGGGAAGGGTCAGTGTGTCAGTAGCAAACAATGAAGTGCACCTCTCAGCATGTTCTCTCTCTTTGCTTTGTATTAACAATGTGGTGTCTACAGTTTATAAACCAGCTAAAGCAGTTATGAATCCAGCATGACTTAAAAGATCACATTTCATTTCCCTGCTTATACTTTTTACATTATTTGTAGGCAAACAGTTCTGAATATTGTTTTTTACATTAGGTTTCAAAGAAGTGTGCAACAGAGGCTGTACAATGCATATTACTCACAAGTCTCTCAGGATCAGCTTGTATATGCAACTCCGAATTGAGCAAAGGATTTAATAATTTTCTAAGTTTAAGGCTTAACTCTGCCCTAGAAGCTATACAATACAGCTATTAATTTGCTGAGTGAAAAAATAAGAGCTTATAGACTGATAGGTGTCATAAAAATTATTGACAATCATTTCAGTTGACCAAAGTAAATACAGAGTCTAATCTGAAAAAATACAAAATTGGCAAAATATTATATATTAAAGCATTAACTCAGATAAAGGTGAACACGGTATACACTCTGAGTGAATGCTTCCTTTAACTTACTCGGAGCTCTGGCTCCATGGTAACTTACTAATATGATTATGGTTAAAGTGGTGAAAACTAACCTGCAATGCAAAAGGGAATGGAGCGGGTTTCCCCCATCCCACTCACTGGGGGAAACAGCAGCATTGGTTGATTTGTCTACAAGTCCTTCAGTCTGTAACCTCTTGAAAACACCTCTTCTACAAGATGCAAGAATCACAGTCTAAAATGCCTTGGCAAATAACCGTCAGGGAATAAGGTATGCTTGTCAAGATCTGAGTCTACACCCTATGGACTTCAGTCCTACAAACAGGGTCACAGTAAGACCTCACAGCCTCCATGGACTTTCAGAATGAAGCTTTATGTATTTTTTTCTGAAGTTATCTTACCTTCAAAAATAAAAATTAAAAACCCCACTATGACAGACTCCTATATAAGGCCACATATAAGCAGTTCTCAAATTATAACCTCAGAACCCAGATGAGAATACACAGCAAATGCTGCACATAAATCTGAGTTAGGGCAGTAGAGATAGCACATGTGGGATTTAAAAGCAGGCAAGTCACTGAACCTAATAATGCTCATTGGCTTGGCTGTAAGTAACTGTTTGTTGTATCCATCATAAGACTTCCTACACCATTTTCAGTGCTCCTGCCAGCACTCATAATGATAGGAGTGCTAATATTTTAAATATTATGTGCATACATGCTTGTCTGTGAGAGATGGTTAGAGGGAATGAATATAGGTATGTCTGTCCTCCACTGTCAAAACCAATTAAACAATTAATGTATTTTCTCTTTGTCTATTATTTTCTATCAGCAATGCTTGCTAGAATTAATCAGTTTAACATGTGAATTCAGTAAAATATATACTTCTGTACATTACCGCTGCTCTCCTTTCTGATCTGTGGTAAGCGAGACAGTGGTCCATTAGCTCATCCTCATCTACTTCTCACTGGGAATAAGGACAGGAATATCTGGGAATAAGAGTTAGTGTATTGTTAGTGAATGCAGATATGACTGATACATTTTTAGTACTACAAGCAATAAAAGAAGTATTTAGATTTCTTTGGCCAGATATCATTAGTAGCTTCTTTTGCCATAGCTAAAACGTGGCATGGGTGTATGACATGTACCTGGGTGCGATGTATGCTCTGCTGGCAAAAGGTCAGCCTTGCTAATGGACACTGCAAGCACTGCACAGAACTGTGCCAGCATGTCAGGATATTGATCCAGAAAAGCACTCTTAACATAACTATGACCTTAGAGAAGAACAGATGAAAATACTGAACACTACAACTATAGACATTTGATAAAAGCATCACTTAATTGCTGTGATACACTTGGACCATGTGTGACCAAACTACCAATTCTCAGGAGCCCTCATTAAGTATCGACACTTGCTCACAGAGGATTCCTACTTAGTTTTCAGTACAGAGTATGGTCTTGTTGCATGGTGGAGACACTGTTTTCAGGTCAGTGTGATTTTCAGTTGTGTGTAGATAAATGTTCAAGTTTTTCTGAGCATCAGAAGAACAATAACTGATAAGGAGGTAAAGTCGTCTGAACAAGCAACCTGAATAATGTGTCATTTAGGAATTCAAATAGAAAAGAGTATAGGGACTTTAAATTACCTAAATAAAAAAGCATTTTAATAATGATATCAAAATAGCTCCTAATCATTAATGGACAAAACTAAAGGCCATTGGACTTCAAGACCTCAGTCATTCTAGAATTGGTACACACCTAATCAATTGCTCTAACAGGTCCTGCCCTGAAAGAGAATGAAAGGGACAAAGAATTTGAAATTTTGACATGTAACACACATTCTGTAAATATATATATTCTCTCTAAATACTGTAAGTATGTAAATAAGAAAAGCTGTCAGTCTTCTTAATGCAAAACTATTTCTGAAGAACAAATTATTAGAAGAGAGGCAATTGCATTTAGATTATTATTAGTCTTATTCATTCGGTAAATAACCAACATTTTCAAGGAGTCTTATTTGAAAGTAAATATAATTCTCCCCCAAGAAAAATAGCAAAAACTGCTGACTTGTCAAAATACAGTTGCTTCTACAAAACAGGTCACATGGAGCTAAATTCTATCAAAATCATATTAACTGCAAGTAAAATACATTATTTTCTAGTCACACACACACAAAAAATTAGCACCCATTTTAAGTACTATTTGAGTATTATGATTTTAAAATATTAGTAAAGGATTCATGGTGAATTCTGTGAAACAGAAACAAGTTCCAATTAGGTAAAAAAAAAAATATCAGAGAATTCTTCTACCAGTTTGACTTTGCTATGTTGGGATAACAATTGCTATGTTGGGATAACAAACTCAAAAGTGTTTTTACAATGTCATCAACCCTGAGGTCTACCTTTGTTACAGCATCTCCAAGCTCCTGTACAGGTCCATATTTTTCTATATATTTTTCACAAGTTTTTAATGAGCCCTCATTTCACTCAGACATACCTAAGCAATGAGAAGCAGCAGCTTGTTATGTTTTATACCATGACACATTCACACTAATAGATCACTCTGAATATTTTCTATTTCAAAGCCTTATTACAACATTGTGGCTATACCTAGGGAAGAATATGCTTCTCCTTCAACTACTGGCTCAGTTCTTCAAGCATTTTGTTACTGCTTCAGTATTGCTTTAATACATTTTATAATAACAAAATTCAGCTTAAGAGACTAAAGTCAATTTGAGTGAAATAACTATTGATTCGTGGTGATTTTATTTGTCCCTTACATTGGCCCTTAATATTTTGGAATGAAATTTGGGATGCAAAAGGGAAACATTTCTAGTTTGGTGAGGGGGACCCTCCCAGTTCATATCTTGCTCTGTTTTTAATGGCAAAAATCTAGACCAACTCTGTTAAAAACAAAAATACTCCAACACGAGGGCCTGATTCTGATCTCAATGAAGTCGTCAGCAAAACTTTTTTATAGATTCATTAAGGATAAGAATTGAGTTTTATATTGCTGCTGCTACTGGCTGTCCTATTTCCTTTAACTCAGAACTTCTCAATTACAAACCTGGTGAAACACAGTCATGAAGTATTTTCTATGACGAGAAAGAATATGAAATTCTACGAAATCACCAAGTTGAGATATTAAAATATTATCTGCACAGAAACAGTGCAGAGACATTAGTATTACTTAAGGTTATTCTATATTCTTAACCTTTGAACACTGATGACTGGTTCTGGTGAATCTTGGTGAAGAAATTTAATATAACCCTGTCCCAGATGTCTGTGCCATGGCTCCACTACAAATGATCATCCTGACTGCAGATGCAGCAGAATGAAACCTGCTCATGCCACAGTCACTTAATTGCAATTTCCACTCCCCCAGTGGAAACTGCAAATGCAATTAGGTTTATACTAACACAGTAATCCATGCATTGGCGTGACTGAGACACTGCAAGAGCACTTGCCAAGGGTAGTCTGCCAAATATCAGAAACAACATACAAAGGTATCTTGATGCTATAATGCATTAAATGCACTCTCCTTTTCAACATACCTTAGTGGCTTCACTGATGGCTTTACACAAGAAATACACCCAACATTTTCTGCAGCCATAAGAAAGATTATAAACCCCTGCAAATATCCATAATCAGGTCACTTCTTGTGCTCTGCCACTGAACAGCAAAAAGCAGTACTTAAGCTCTACTAAGTATTGAGAAGCCTAGCTAAGACATACATAGCTCAGCACTTAACATACCTGTTACAATTAGGTTCCTTCTGGAAAACCCAATTTAAAACAAATATTAAAATTAAATTCAATATTTAGCTACTGTTAATATCAAGGTTTTGTGGTTCATGCATTTCATTGTTAGTTTTAATCAGATCTTTCCCAAACAGAAAATCCATGGCAAAAAGGTAAAGAACCAAAAGCGTTAATAACAAAAACTTTTTTGCTGCTTTTCTTATGTTGTCTGTAATTCCCCACAACCCTGAAATAGCAGTCTTTCTGAAGTTCACACATTTACTTGCTTGTTTACATTTTATGGCATTTTCACACTGCTGCTGCTAGACAAGAAAGATTTAAGGGTACTCTTTTGCAGTTAGCAAGACAGGAGAAATTATAAAAGCCAGATGTGAGTCTGTTTGGAGAAAAAATAACAGGGAGTCAGATCTAAGCTGTACAATCTCCTCCCACAAAACAACACAGGTATAAAAATATAAGGGGAGAGCAGGACTGAAGAGCATTATACAGAAAGAGGCACAGAGTAAATATTGACAAACATGGGAGAAAATACTTGGTTTTATACAAATTTTCAAGTAAACATATATTAAGTCAATCTTGGTTAACTGTTTTTCCTATTGATATATGCCCTGTCCTCCACCACAAAGTTCTGTTTACCTTTTGCTCTGTACTTTGTTTTGATGAAACATGATTAAGTGATTAACATGTTCCAGTTCAAACAGTAGCATTTAAAACTTTGTTTGCATGTGAGTAAGTGATGTTTCAAAGGCTTTATTTAGATTTAAGGAAAAAAGCTCAGTTTAGGTAGCTTTACCAAAGAAGGGGGTGGAGTGTTTAAAAAAAAAAAACCAAAAAAAAACCAAACCCAAACTTTGTCCTGTAGTTTAACAGATGCAACTGTGGCCAGGATTTTTCTAATTAGACAATCGCAGTATATATATTAAAAAAAAAAAAAGTGATTTATCCTTTCTGCAGCCAAAGCCAACATAGGAAGTCAAGAAGATTCAGCTCCCATAGGTTTAGGCTTGACCTTAATATTTGCAATGGCACTGTTTTAGAGCTCTTTTAGATATGGAACTTGATAAATCACAAAAATTTATTCTTCCATCATCATGCTAGTGGAGTTTCTCTGTTTAGACATGCCCTTAAAAAGGCATCATAATAGTGTTAGTTCTCGTGCATGGATACATCTCTGGAATTATTTAGTAGTTAGTGTTCAAGGCTGCAAACCTGCATTTCACATTCTGTGCAGTTTCAGTATGTGCTCTCCATCTTCTTGGCAATATCAGTGGCTGGAGTTCCTTCAGAAGAAAGATAAGCACAGCAGTAAGGGCATGTCCACACATTATTCTTTAAGCTTGCAGAAATACAGGAATGACAGAATCTATCCATACAGAGAAACAAAACCAAATGTGATCATCCCCCCAAAACATGCTTCAAATAAGGCAAGGTATATAAAAAACAATCAAAATTTTGCACCACATCACATCTCTGGTGTAACATTGCAGGATATTTGTTGTTCTTAGGATATACTGTTAAGATTGTGGGTATTGTTCTGCAGCCCTACCTGTGTTAAGCAGAGCACTGAAAACAGACAAGCTGAGCTTCCTGGTAGCACTGAAACACATGTGACTGTGAGGACTCATTTCAGAGCAGAAGTGAGGAACCCATCCCCCGTGGGCCAGGCAAAGCCTGCAGTCCATGATTTCAATACCTGCCATCACAGCAAAGATTATTTCATATTTGTAGTGTTGCTGCTGGACAATGTCACAAATACGCATACTGATAGCTCACTGTAAGTCTTCCTGAGCCCATAAACAGAAGAATACTCCACTCTGCTCCTATGAGTGACAACCATCCCAGTTGTTAAAATGAGGGAATTTCTCCAATAGGTGATGACGTCAGGAGTTGGAGAATTACACTGTGAAGGTTTTAGGCAGCAGTCATGGCGGAAGCATTAGGCTGTTGGGTGGTAAGTGGTGCTCTGATGTAGCCATCTCAGGGTTTGGATTTAGGTAAAGGCATACATACTTCTGGGAGCGTCTTAGCCGCTTCACTTCTCTGGTTTTAGTAACAAAAGCAAATTGGATTAGTGGTCACTGCAGCTGCTTTTGAAAGCTTTTTGTCAGTTATGGATATGATGGGTAAGCTTTGGTCAATCTTCCTGTAGAGATGCAAAACATTACTACCCTTCACTATCCGAGCAGCACTGCAAAGTCCCAGTGCTAATGGGACAGAAAAGGGCCTTTCTTTGCATCAGATTATTGCTCCCCATCATGTCAAGATAGGGGTCTGAAGGGTAGAGTGACAGCCTGGGGCTGCAAGGAAGGACAAAAGAAAGGATGCACACTGACTGACAGCCCCTCCGGCTTTGGAAGAGCTAGAAGCTGTTGTGCCAGACTGCAACCGGCAGCGAGCACATTGCTCAGCCTGGGTGAGCATACAGACAGCAAACACATAAGGATGAGGAGGTGGCAAGAGTCCTTGCTCCTCTACAATAAATTTGCATTTGTGGCCTTCTGCTAAGTCTCACAGCCCTGCAGCAGAAGTGTCAGGAGCAAACTTGTGTCTGCAATCCCAGCTGCATGAATGCAAAATTTCACTTAAATAAACTGCTGACTTGGCACTCAAACAGGTAAAGATCAGGAATATCTTTTCTTTTGCCAGTTCTGCCTGGATTTAAATGCAGTAGCTTCTAGAAGAGAGGCACCTGAAACCATAAACGACTGTGGTCAAACCAGCTAGTACTGGTGGTCATGCTGTGCCAATTTTGGATGTTGCCACTCGCACCCTCCTGTGCTGCCCCCCTGTTGATTACCCACCTTTCCTTCTGTCTCCTCTCCCAACCCTCCAGCCCAGCAGAAGGTATCGTGCTTATCTCTCAGATACTTCTCCTCAGTTTGGCATTTTAGTGCCAATCCACCCGCTTTCCCAGCTGCTAAAATGCTAGCCTTTGCACCAGAGCTGCTAAGCCACGAGTCCACATTGCCCCCACCAGCTCTGCTATGCAGATAGCAACTCCAGCAGAGGAGTGGAGTTGGAAGCTGAGGCAAAACCTTCTTAAACCACTGTGAAACAACTTGTCAAGCCTCCCTTGCCAGTGCACCCTCCAACAGCATTTCTAACATACTTAACAGCCTGTGACCGACCTATAGGAGGACTTAAGATGTAATGTCTTCTTTGGAAGCCTTCTTCATATATAGCTCCACGGAGCCATGTAAAATACAATCAAAGCCTAAATCTGACAGAAGGTGGTATTTTGCAGTTACTTTACAGAAGTATAAATGATTACACTAAGTGCAAAGAGAGTACAGCCAAGACCCAACATGCTCCTTGTCCAAGAATAAACTCCAAATTGTTACACATGGTTTGCCCTCGGGCAGGTTTAACTTAGATTATTCCTGTACTTTAGACAGGGTTGAAAGGGTTTCTTTGTTTCTCTCACAAACAGAAGAGTCTCCTATAAATAACCTCATACAAGGTTCACACGTGCTGTCTGAGAGCTTTCCACTTTTAATGTCACAAAACATAAAATCAGATTGCCCTTTGCCAGTTTGTTCACCCTTCCCCTAAAACTCTCAGTAGCAGGAAAAAAAAAAAGAGATAATATAAAGGTACAAGGATTGGTGAAGTACAACTACACCCATGCATTGTACGTAAAGTCTTTTGCTATTAGTCAGTGATTCATTCTATTGACTATAAAAACAATTTGCAAGAATTTCAGGTTCAACAACAACCCCCCCTCCCCTTAACTCAATTTATCACTCTGCTTTATTTGCTCAGTCCATACCTAAACAGGTAAAACAAACAAATACAACTTAAAAGAGTTCAGGTAGATGAAATAAATCCTAATCATCTCGGGATATTGACCTGACATATAAACATTGCGAAAGCCCTACTTTTTTCCCTTTCCGTTTAGCATCCAAACAACTGCCTCAAGTCTCTAATTAGAGGCTGCATAACATCTCAAATGCAACAAAAGCCAACACATTCATTCCTGAAGATACTGAGGGTGCTGTAAAACAGTTGCATTTTTAGACATACATACATGTGTACAACTCAGCTCAGGAGCCCATCATTTTCTATGAACTGTGACTTGGAATAAATAATAGAAACAAGCCTTGCCAGGTGACTAGCAGAAAAGGCACAGTTGCTTAGCTGGATTTCTGTTGAGAAGGAACTCTGCAAAGTTGCCTACAGTTTCTGAGGCCAACAAGTGGTCCTGAAAACTAAGAAGGGGGTCAGAAACATGCTAGGAAGCCCTTTGTCCTTCCCCCCCCCCCCCTTTCTTTTTTTATTTTTCCAAAATTATTCCTAAACACTGGCTTCAGCCATACTTCCGACTGCTGTTATCACTAGAAAGATGCCACATTTGTAAAGGGAGTCACTGCAGATGGTTCTTGCATTTTACACCTGTATAGATCACTCTGACTCTATACTCCGATTATAGCTCACACTGAATTTGTGATGAAGACAACCACTTGGAATTTGAACCAGAAGCGCACGCTCACTCTTGAACTGCTAGTTTCACACATTGATTTTTTTTAAGTGGTCCAGAATAGCTGGCCTTATCCTAGAGCAGCTATCCCGAAACTGATTTTCTGGCATATCCTCATGGTAAGCAAATTTAGCTGGGATGAATTGAGACATATTTCTAAGTATTTAACACACAAAAAAACCCCCCAAAACCAACAGAGCACAGATGTCACAACCTCTCTGTACAGTCAGCAGAGAAACAGGCACAACTTACCCAAGGTAATTCAGTCTTAAACAGGCTAACTCCGGAGCCGCGTCACCTGTGCCCACCGCCTGCGGAGGCAGGTGAACCCAGTGCTGCTGCTCCACCCTTACCTGCATGGAAACCACTGGTGAAAATGGGTTATTTTCAGTCAGTTCGAAGCGGACTCCCCGCACCCGCGCGAACCCCGTGTGTCCGCCCCCCAAACCTCCCCCACTGCCAGACCCCCACACGCCGACCTCCCGCCTGCCTCCGTCCCAGGGGCCCCAGGGGCTCTCCGCCGGCGGCAGACAGCCCGGGGCCAGGCAGCGGAAAGACCCTTTGCCCGGCCTGGGCGGGCCGGTTCCGCCGCGGGGCTCCGCCGCCGGCCGCGGGCACTTACACGCTTCCCCAGGGCGTCCGCTCGGGGTGTGCAGCAGCTGCAGGCAGGCGGCGCACTCGAAGGAGGCCGAGGCCGGCTGCCCCG